AACAGAGAATAACTCGTCATGTATTAAAATCAAATGCTAAATTGATTTTATAACTGATATTCTGTATCTTCGTTGCATACGATCTACAGACGATTACTCGCTCTCACGGCCAGTGCACAACGCCACGAACGAACGAGAAACCCATGTGCTTGAGTCGTGGGCGATTTAGAACCGTCCATTTTGCAGCAGGGTAATCATTTTGTATTATAACTATAAATACACATGCCTAAACATTACCACATTTAAACATGTGTATTAACCGTTATAATAAACATGTTTAAATATTATATTAATATTCAAACATGTGCACTAACCTTTATAATACACGTTTAAATACTATTATAATAAGCTTCACCGGGCACACAATGGTTCGGTCTTGGGATGCCAGGGGTAGGCGCTTCAGTACAATCTTATTATTTTTGTTTGTTATGCATCGTAATTTTCCCGATTTTTAGGTGTGAACACAATTTGTATTTTCTTTTTAATTATACTGTGGTACAGACAAGAAGAACAATACCCAGTAAAAATATTTGCGGGAAATTCAGTAGTTGCTTCTGTTCGTTACGGACTGCCAATGCACTTTTTGACATCACACCACACCTAAACATGCGCTCCCGATTATAACTTCTTTTTATTGAAAATGTAGGAATATGTTAAGAGAGTATTAATTGTTGTAGGCTTATTGATTGTAGGCTTATTCATTACGTTTGCCATGCCTGACCATTGTAAACGAAATATATCTTGCTCACTCTAGATCACTAACCTTCCTAGGCCTAACTACAATAAACTAGTATGCGACCTTCGCAGGCCGCCGGCAGCGGGTAATAAATTTTAGGTAAGTAGCGAATCTGTCACCCGACCTGTCACTTGTGACAGGGGGTTGGATGATCGATTACCCGAGTAGGTCGGGTAGCAGGACCGAATTCGCTAAGGCAAGATTTTCGGCATGGTATAAGCTGTAAGAAAAAGTCTTTGTTATCCAAGAAAGAAAATTTGTCTAGTTGGATTAGGGCTTGTAAAAGTTTAGACAAAAATTAATAATTAATATAATAATACACTATAAAATAGAAAAATCATATGCAATTCATACTATTATTCTTTTCTTGATCCTGTCAACACGGTTTGTATGTTTTCACTTCTTTTCCCTAAGTGTATTTTACTAATCTAGTTACTCCCCAAAGACACTGATACAGAACTACTTGTGCAAGCTGCCATTCCAACATAAAACAAAATTAAGATACATGCAGAAAAATTAAAAACCAAGACAAAATGAAAGCCATAATTTACAAGATCATAGAATAAGTAACTGCCAGAGAAAATGAACAGCGTGAAGAAATGCCCCTAAATGCATTGGGCCCAAATTGCAGATTGCACAGGCACTGATTGGGCTTATTGTATAAACCAAAACACACAGATCTAATGAACTGAGCCAAACTACAGAGCCTGATAGCAGGGCCTGATGCATTGAGTGCCAAACTGAATAGGCCATGATGCAATGACCTTGATGCATTGGGCTTACATGCATAGACCATGATAAACAGGCTCCTTACACCAAAACTGCAAAGATGCATAGAGCTCTGATTTATTGGGTCGAACTGCATAGGCCCTGATGCATGGGTTTGCATGCGAAGGCCAAGATGCACAGGCCCTGATTTATTGGGCCAAACCACATAAACTGCAAAACAGGCAATGATGCATTGGGCCAAACTGCATGGAGCAAAATATGCAGAGAGTGTGATGCAATATGTTTACAGTAACATCTCCCAATTATCTACCCTTCTGTCCGAAGAGCATTCGTAATTTAGAAAATTCGCCTCAATGGCGAGGGTAGGCTTAGAGCTACCTAGTACACAGGGCTAGGTTTGTTAATGGTAGCTGAGGTCCCAGTGAAAAATTTCATCACAAAACAACTTTTTCTTTTGCTGCCTTCTGCAACTGTACTGAACAGAAGCCAAAATTGTGATATATTTATTTTAAATGACTTTCACAAAAAAATACATGATCATAAATTAGTAAAAAAACTATTCTCTTTAAAACGAATTAGTTATCACATCAGTTACATCAATTGCAATAGTGCCACCAATAAACAAAAAGTGCCATTCTCCTTTTCTACTTTAGCTGCCTGTTCTAAATTCAAGGTTATTGGCAATAATGTTATCACCAAAAACTGTGTTAATAAAATAGAGAATTCTTAATTGGGAAATGTACTGCACATGCATGGACCATAATGCACATGCCCTGATGGAAGGGGGCCAAATTTAGCAGAACATGCGGTCACAAACACACATCCAATTTACCTGGCCATCGGCTATATTGTTAGTAACCTACCAGGGATTGCCAAAACAAAACACACACACATTAAAGGATGATCGACATATGCATGATTGACAAACATATCAAACTACTATCAATTCCACTCTCAACATTTAACAAGGCAATAATAGAAATGACTTGCTTTTGATGCAAATATTATGTACATACTACAGATACAAATAATAATACTAATGTAAATTTGTAATGTGATTTTTATGTCAATACATATCATTTTTCTACATACATCTATTCAAATATTTAAACAATTTCAAAGCAATGATAAATCAATTATTCCAGACAATAGATTCCAATTTTGAATTGGTTTACAAATTCATTCATGTTTAAAATTTATTCTAACATACTGAACAAAAAATATATGTAGGAAATGACGAAGATTCATGTGTGATGAAAAATATGTGGGCACCAATGGTTATACAGCATAATTAACACTGTCTATGTACAGATAATGGCAGCATTGATTCTAACACCTTGCATGTAGGGACGTGTTGCAAGGGTGACATTCACTAACTTCTGCTTTGAATACATAAACATGGTTTGGCTGGTTTCAATGTGATTTCATTTAATTATAGCAAGTCTGTAGGCAGGAATTCTTAATAGGGTGTTCTAATTTGTTTACTACAATGCATTTTAAATCCATGTCTCTTTATGTTTGGGAAGATTTTAAGAACATAACGCCTCAGGTGTCTTGAAATCGCATTCCATTAAAAAAAAAAACGCCAAATTTTTAATGTCTAGATAACCTACTTTGTACTTTTTACTAATATTTAGGAAGGTAATTTATTTCAAACCCCTTAAACTCTCCTGGCTCCAGGCTTGTATACATGTAATATATTTTGTGCAGTATTGTAATGTTCTTTACTCATTAAAAAGAAATTTAACGGGAAAAAATGTATTACCTCGGCTCCGATGGCTTCATTAATAACAGGATGAGCACATTCAGGGGCCCAGGCTATACACTCCACTACATGGTCATGCTCCCTTAACTCCGCCTTACACTCCTTGCTGGAAACGGCCCATACTCTCACGGTCTGCAATAAAATAACATTAATTTAAATAACAGAGTAGATATCTTTTTATTTATTATAACATGTGAAAAGATAAGCGAGTATAAACTAGTGCAGGGGTGGGCATTAAAATTGGTCAGTGGGCCAAAGTGAATTTTTGCTTCAACTCCGAGGGCCACATCCAAACCTTCATACACTGTTTTATGGCCACTTTATACTCAGTTTTACCATTTTTATCTGGCTGCACGGATAGGGTTTGTAATTCATTTCCACTAGTTCACCTGTGAACTAGTGGAATTCTATTGTAATTATAGAACTTGATGATAAACTTAGTTTTATGAAATGTGAAATGCTATTTGTACCGATGACGCCACATAACAGTCACTTTTGAATGAAAGTTTCCACTATTAATGATAATGAAAGCTAAGATGACAATGAAAAACAAGATACTGCAAAACATAAGATAAACTGCATGTAAAATCTGCAACAATTGGGCAATAGAAAACAACTAGATGTAAATAAATTGGATTACCTAAAATCTAATTCAATCATTGACTAAAAGATCTCCGACAAACCTAAATTTTATAGCAAAAATAAATATTAACCCTTGACATTTTATATGTGAATATAAAAACAAAAACCTGTTTAAAATGTCATCTTTGTTTAAAATTACAAATTATTTTATTATCATTCACAATGAAAATGACTAAAGGGCAACTGAAGAAAAACATTGTTTGAACAGTTTATTTAATCAATACTCAATAAATATGATATCATGTCTAAAATATGTTGTCTAGCACCAGTGAAGCTTAAAGGCAGTCATAAATGTGTTTACTATAGCAATCTGATCTGGTTGCCTGGGGTCGATAAATAAATAATGAATAGCAATACTTACTAGTACTATAGTAAAATTCAAAATATAATCTTACATTTATTTTCAACTTCCTTATTACCATTTTTACTTATTTATTAGTTTAACATTGTATATTTATACTTAGATAATGATGATAATGATGTTGTTTCTAATCAATTTATAATTAAATTATTATTTTTTATATAATCATGTATCTTCTAGTTGTTTTTTATTTTATCTTGTAGTTTATAATAATTTTATAATAGTATTAAATGTATGGGTTCCTTGTCACTGAATATGGAAACAATCATAGTAGATACAAGTGTATTTACTGTACTGACCCTAATAAATGCCCCGGGGCATTGCATTTTTGTAAAGGGAGAGGGGGGAGGGGGATGTGGTAGCAGCATTTTTTAGAGGTGAATTATGAAATCATAAACTATGTTTACCAAGCTGCTTTAAGCGGTCAATCCGGTGGTGTACTGTATAAGCAGCAGATTTTATACACAATTACAACGGGTGCATTTCACGAAATACACCCGTCCGGTGATCAACCTACTAAAAAGTTCCAGATTGCGAACCGTCTAGCCTCTAGTCTAGGCCCAAGCTATTCCAATTAATTAACCAAATGTAGGACTGGTTTGCTGGCCTAGTATTTGTAATTAACACCTCGACAAAATTTGATTGATGGATAAACCGACTAATCAGCGAGCGTCATTTAGTCATGTGATCAAAAACTTTTTCTCGGAAATTTTAATTTCCTTAGACATCTGGTTGTCAACGCGAAACATATGTGAGCCTAGGCCTAGATGTCTATGCTTAGTTATAGATAGGTTTTCGTGACTTTGTGGGCGGGGCTTCGCGTCCTTGTCAACATGTCAATTATGCTCACTACAGTCCTGTAAGGATTCCTACATTTTCTACGATATTCAAGCAATTGTTTTGGTTGTTAATTTTCATATTAGGTTCATTCATAAACAATATTTGAAATGTTCCTGTTTGAACACGCTTCACCCAAAATAATAACAAACCATTATCTTTTCGGTGCTCGATGTCACGTGAGTAGCTTCACGAATGTTGTAGTGATAGGCCAAGAATTACCAATATGTTTAGTCACCAAAATAATAGAATAATTTTTAATAGAACATAACTAAAATGATTGTTGAAACCCATACGGTGGGAAAATTTAACAGCAACTGTCTAGGTATGCGTTGCATAATAAGCACGTCCAGTTGTTCCTAATCAGCTGATAAAAGTTAAAATTTTGTTATTTTATTGTAAATAATGGTTACCCATTCTAAATGTAAGAAGCCACTGTTATCTCTGCTTAAATCGGTTGGGGGAGGGGGGTGGGGTTATTAAAGGTTGAAACGTTTATTAGAGACAATACGGTACATAGTTAATGAGTAAGTGTAGGCAGGTAACTGCAATGTACCATATTAAATAAACCAGAGTACATTAACTAATAACAAAAAACTTATAATGGGCTTTAGTATGTATTGTTAGCAATTTCTATCCATTATTTAACCTTGCCAATTCAGTTTTCAACTTGACTGGCAATGAATGTGTATTTATAAACCATACTATACATAAAAAATTAGATAATTCAGTATCCCCCTTAGGTCATGGGAGTATAGCTAGCTGCATAACAAATCAATACTAAAATTATCATTTGTATTTGACTGTTATTCCTTTCTCCTCCAGCGTCAAAACTGTCAGTCGCTATTAACTCTGATTGATCTGTCAAATGTCCTTTTTTTTTTTATTTCAACCAAAGAAAAATGTTTTCCAAATGCGCTTCTGTTAAGAAAAATGTTGGAAGTTAAGATTAACATTTTTCTTCAAATAATGCTATTATTATAATTATTATAACTTGATGACGTAATGTTGATAATTGAATTTGCCTGTGTATTATTTAAAATGTATTAATTGTATTGTTTCTATATTTATTGTTCTGTTTTATGGACTTTTAAATGTTCATCAAAATCTTATTTCCTCGCATTATTGGGTTCATTCATACTACCAGTTAGGGCCTAGTAGCTTCATTTCAGTAGTAAATTGACGTGTTACAGACAATTTGCACACCCATTAAGATAAACATGATTTAAAAATCAAAAAGTTGTATGTATTTGTCCCCCTATTTTTCAATCGTAATTTACTATTTTAAGAATATACAGTAGTATACTGCAAGTGATTTATTTGTTAACCTTGAGACCCTACTCTACTTCTCATAATTTAGAGAAGTATTTGTAATCTAGAGAAGAACAATTAGGCACTCCCTGAATTATTTGCTAAACTAAGCACCAAATTATCATTGTCATTGTTAATCAAAGTTTGCTTAATTAAGTTTACATTCATAACACTATAATCCTATGCACACTCAATTACATACTGGGTTTAATGGCTCCAAGACAAACATACCTATGCAACAACATTACACTATAAAAAAAATTAACTTAATTGCTAGGGTAATTTTGGTACCTTCAAGAAAGAAGGTTTGGGGAACTGATAAAATATGCATCTTTATAATAGCCTAGCTTGGTCCTGATCCCCATGACATAGCTTACGATGGCAAATGCGATTAAGTTTTCATAAACACACAGAGCCTAAGTACCAGGGATGTTCTCTCCCTTTATTATATTAAACTATCCTCTGATTTTGTTAATTGATTCAAACATTTACTTTCTCAAATTCACTGTATAATCAGAGCATTGAATTTTTTGGATGATGTTTTTTAAAAGGCTATTGAAATACCGTATTGTCTCTAATAAACGCCCCCTCTGAGTTTTTTTCATTTTGCAATAAGTGCCCAATCAATTAACATGGGTATCCAGTCCATAAAAAGGTTGACAAACAAGGAGTAATACCGTACTGTGTGCTGCTTTCTTTGATATGAAATGAAATAAATACTACTCAAAAAAGCTTACCCTAAACGTTTGATGTTTACTCTCTTCACGATCACTAGGCCTAGGCCTATTTTGTGTTTCTATCATGGTATTTCGTTAGCCTTGTAAAAACAGTGTAAGCTGCAAACTGACGGCAAACGACGGGTAATCGTGTATTGTTAATGTGTCGCGTGTTCGACGCTGATTTGATTCAAGGTGTCTGGTCAATGAAGTCTATACTGTAGTGAGAATGTTTCTTCAAGTTGAGGGCAGATGTTTTGCGTACGGTGGTGGAGCGGTGCTAGTTCATGAGGCCGACAATGTTTTTGACAAGCACGCGATTGCTGCTGTGAAAGGAGAAGCACCGCGCTGCATCGTCGTACATTCACCCAAAGAGAACTCCAGGATATTTCATTTCTTTTTGAAACACAAGGAATTATTGATGTTCAAATAACCAGCAACAAACGAAGGAACAGCAAAATCGCAAGAGGCCTGGAGATACCCTGCACATTAACTTGTTCCTCTACAAATAAAGAACTTATTGACCGTTTAAGGCAGCTTGTTTAGGTAATTTTTGATTTTACAATTCACCTCTAATAAACTCCCCCTCCCATTTGAAAAAATGCAACACCCCCAGGGTGTTTATTAGAGACAATACGGTAGGCAGATTTTATCATTTTTGAGACATGTTAAAATATGGGTACAAAACACTAAAGAACAAAACATAGGCGAGACTTTTTTTATACCTTGTCTAGCAAACCCGCCAACTGCAAATATTGATGATTTAAAAAAAAATTCTATATTTAGCCAATTAGCGCACCCTCCGCCACGAAAAAGTGGAAATTTAAGAAAAAAATAAAAGTTTTCCTCTATTTTTATTGTGCCTTGAAACCCAAAGATAAGTTATGTATTTCTTCCTAATTACATAAATTTAAAGCATAATCCTATTTTACATTCACCAATAAAATTTTATTTTTATTTTTTCCTAATTGTTTTGTAGGAACCTTAGCAACAATATTCAATTGGCAGGGCTTAGTGGAAAGGTCAATTCAGTGAAAATGCTAGCAAAAGTGTAGCGATTTTATGAAAACCAGGCTTTAGCCACGTAGCCACAGCTTCACGAACAGACACTTACCTGATCATTGGAACAGCTGGCTATAAGCGATCCATCATGGTAGATTTTGATCATCCTCACCCACTCTCGATGTCCGGTAAACGTCTTTACACAATAGCTAAAAAAACAAAATATATTTTCATTCTTAAATCTCAGGCTATCTTAGATGCTCCGAAAGCCAGGCAAACACACTGTCTTCTGCATTCTATACAAGCACTAGGTGGACGCAATGCCAGTCTGCTGACTTTGAACTAGAGTCTGAGTGAATTGGTGCTGAAAACAATCTGTAGCATGACATGTTTCTATCCCATAGAATTTCGCTAGCTGCCGATGACAATGCATATAGGCTACTGCTTTAACTTCATTTCATTTATTGTGATCTCAAACATTAGTCACCGACTGGATTGTGTGACTTTACATACTGACAATGTAAATATTGTAAGTATGAATGGTTATGATAAAATTAGGCCCTCTACTGTAAAATAGCATATTAATATACTATATAGGGTCAAATTTCCTTCTCTGATTATAGCTGTTTAAAAAATATTCTAGATACCTACATACTTGAGAAGCACAAATTATAATTCAAAGTGGAGATTACTGTAAATCTTGCATAACACACAACTAAAGAATAGGCTACAGCCAAGCCTGTTTGGTTTTCTAACAGTACAGTAGTAAAACAATATTGTTTTTCTTTTTTTTTTAATTACTTTCAAGTTTACTCTTTTGTTCTATGGACTAACATGGCTGATCCATTTTGAAAATCAATAGTATGTTTTAAAGTATGAAATTCATGATGTGATGTAAGTCACGTTATTAGTTATTGTTGTATAAATAGAAGTCTATTATGGAACCTTACAGAGGATTACAATCACATTCTATGGAATGTGTATTGCAAAAAACTTATGAAATCTGGAAGGCATACTTAGTTTCCTAAGCACTAATTTTAGTTAGGAATTAAGATCATGCTTTAAATATCACCCACAATATTTAACATTTTTACTTTTGCAATTTGCGGTACATCTTAAAGCATGTAAACTTGATATTCACTGGAAACATTTCCACTCATCTCTTTAAAAAAACACCCGTCACATTTCATTACGAATGTACTTAAAATTTATGATGATTATAATCTTCTACTGCATGTAATGTTAGATCACATGTGACAGTTAAAGATGCTCGTATTGGTTATAACCTTTCCAACGGTCCTGTATATTGTACCTAGTCATTACTCATATAACTGGCCTTAATCTTAACATATGTTCACCTGAGTCTGTTTATTACATAAAAATGAAGTGTTCATGAATATTATTACTTTACATATAGATTTCTTCGGAACTGTAGTTTATTACTGAATAAATTTGGAATGCATTTCAGGAAGCATGTTATACATTCATAGAAGAATGTTTATGTCCATTACATCAAGAAACATCATTTTTTACATCAAAAAAGTGTTTCATCATTACCAAATCAAGTCAGTCTTATTTGAAAAAATCCAGTTGATTGCATATTATCTATTGTATTTTATTCAATATTATGTATTGATATCATTATTTATGGTTTCCATATAAGTATTAATATCATTATTTACTACAGTTTCCATAACATGTATTTAAGGTATAATCATTCATCATTTATTAAGTGTTATGAGTAAAATTTTACACATCTGGAATAATGCATCTGCCAGTAACACTCAGTCACATTATATTATGCAAGCCTGAAATAAGTGTCTTGTCAACATCCGGAAAATCCTTTACACTATTGCATCAAATACTATCTACACATTGTTTGCTTATAAAGGATGAATATTAAAAGGGCATTTGGTCATGTCTCTTAAATTTATTTCAATGGATAATAACAACTCCAAATAACTGACTAGGATAATAGATGACATACATAAAATCTAGACATAATAATATAACAATATATAGTAAAATACATTGTTATAGAAAACTAGTTCTATTTTATTGACTCAGGATAGAATTAACAGGTAGAAATTCAGTGTGTGTACTGGTGCGGGGATTAAGTTTAAGAGCGCATTTTCCCTGGGATAAAACCTTCGATTTTGAAGATACCCTCAGCCTGGGAAGTTAAGTTGCCTGCTAATTACACACTTGGCTTCATGCACCTGATAGATAAAATACTCCAAAAAAGCCTTTCATTTTACTACACACAGAGCAGTTTGCTGTGTTTGTTTACAATATTGTATTTCATGTAACTACAATAGGTGGTCACTGATTTTGCTTTAAATACAAGTAATAAAGCTACATTACTATTAGAAATTCCTAGACCATGTGCCTTAACCATCAACAAACAAAATTGAAATACTCACCCAGACGCAACCTCCCACATTTTGATTGTCTTGTCACGTGAACAAGAGAAGACAAAGTCACCATTAGGAGCAAAAACAACGGATGAGACATTATGATCATGTCCCTGCAGTGTTTTTGTACATTCATATGAACCAAAATCCCAGATTCTTACAGACATATCAGCAGAACAAGACACTGAAATCAAGAACAATATTTACTATAAATAAGACCGTATTTGCATTACATAAAATATCTCTCTGGTCAAAATTTGTACTTTTGTAATTTATGTACTACAATTAGATCTATAAATCTCCTTTAATGAATCTAATAATCATCTATACATGTTCATTTCATAAGAATGATCATTAAAGTCCCTGCTAAAATGAAATATAAATCATGAATTTATGTTAAGTTATATAAAATAAATAAAATAAAACTACCTAGAAGTTTTCCAGTCTGATCAAAAGCTACATCTTGCACTGCATCTGTGTGTCCTCTAAGTGTTCGTTCATAGTCACCAGTTTCATAATCCCATACCTACAGTGATATCAATACATTTATATAGTCACAGTTATTTAAATATCCTTAGCTCTCCATCCTATGATTTATATTTAAATTGTATTTGACAAATTTGTGTGGTGTACCCATATACAGTATGGACATGAAGATGGCATATTACATACTAATATGAGCATATCACTTTTATTTTTCACATTTTGATGGTGTAGAGAATGCTTTTAAAAGGGACATCTATTTTTAAAGTCATTTTCATGAAAGTAACAAAATACATGCTAAATGTGGAAACGGGTGGGTGGGGGTAGGCAGCAGTGTTTTTATGCTTTAATGAAAGATGAATTGATGTCAAAATGAACAGAATCATGATCATACTCTTTTGGAAGGAGGAAGATGTCATAACAATAATTATGTTTTCATAAAATGATAACAAAAACATATGGCCACTTATAACATGATTACATGTACATGCCACTGTAAATGAACAACCTACCTTAATTGAAGCATCCTCCGATGAGGAAACTATTAAACTATACACTGGATGGAATATAACTTTTGTGATGGGGCTTCTGTGCCCGCTTAAACAATACTTTGCAGGTGGCCTCGGTATCCATTCTGATGGCACGCGCTTGTCACGTGTAGGACCACTTTGGAATTCTCGTTCTGCTTCATTTAATTTAGATTCTAAGTCCATAACTTTTTTCTGTAAACGAATCACCGAAGTCCACTTCTTTTCTAGTAAGCCGACATATTTCTTCTCTATCTCACCAGGCTATAAACGATTAAAATTGAACATTATCATTGGTTAGGTAAAATAAGTTTTGTTTATATAGAACTAGACTGTATAATTACTGTACGTACTGTGTTAAATGGTTGAGACCAGCCATGCCACTAAATAAAATTATAGCACTACCATGTGAATATTTTGAATGTGCTAGCATATTTCAAAACCCCTCCTGAGTATAATGGCTGTATAATAAAGACCGAGCTGGGTTTAACAAGGTTAAGTACGGTTTATAATTTTATAAAACACTACACTGGTACTCACCATGTCGGTTTCTTTAATAAATTCATTTAGTGCCTGGTCATAACCATTAGAACGTAGATAGTCGGCGATTGATTTATTTCTATAAAGAGAAGAAATACAGGAATTATTATATATTCGTTACAACACTACCACACCAGTATAGGCTTGCAGACCTTTGCAACAAGAGCAGCAATGTAAAATATACTGACACTTTGCAGGTTTGTACAAAATGTCCAGGTGTGGAAATTTAAAAAGTTAACAAATATGAAACTATGACATTACAGGTATATCAAAATGGTAATCATTTGATACAGTACATTCTATTATTTGTATATAATAATTTAATTTTCTGTCAGTGAAACATTAAAAAAAAAAAAAGAAAAGATTATTGCAATGTTAAAAATAATATGTATATATAGCAAAAAAAATTATAATTGTATTATTAATAATGAAGATACTATGGTTCATTGTTAATGCTATAGAAAAGTGGGTTTAATAAGCCTCTGTACATATCATATTTTACAAAAAAAAAACTACTGTACTATATGCCCATAGTTACTGTATGATGTACCTACAGTATATACGGTCATAATGTGATATCATCATGAACATATTTAGACATGTCAAATGTTTTTGTCAAATAAAATCTGATAGTTCAGACAGGGTTTAAGGAAATGACGAGTTGGACCACAACCTCTCCCAGAATGCACACAGACCAATCCAAACACGTTTCCTGATAGTAACCAACAGCACACAAGCACCATTTCCTGTTTCAGGTTCTACATTAAGTTATGGTATGTCAAGCAGGCTATGTACTATAATGTATTACATTACAGGCAAGAGTCCTTAGTACTCTATGTTACACAGAAAATCTTTGAATAAAACTAAATAATTAAGATTCTTTTTTAAGTATAATCAAATGATGGGTGAATTAAATTTTAGTACTTTATATTAATAAAATGTATATCACTGCTAAATAAATAATTGGATATTGTCATTATAGTTATATAGAGGCAGTATTAAATTATTGGCTTTAAACTGAACTACAGTACAGTTATTTGATTCTTAAAAATCAATACTGGTACTTTTTTTTAAAAAGAGCCTTTAATATAATTGTAATATCAGGGCTTGAAATTAAGGGTTATTTGGTCGCATTTGCGACTTGATTTTTTAAGGTGCGACAATGAATTCAACTTTGTCGCGCTCAGTGCGACAAGGTCATTTGATAGCACGAGTAGATTTTGTAAATGGCAGGAAGGTGGTTTCCCTCCAAATCCCAATTATTTACAACTTGTACAGCCCATTATTTTCAGTCAGGCAGTAGGCAAAACATGTTATCATTCATTTTACAACCAACCAATCAGCATGACCTAGACTGTTAAAGTGTGACGTTGTACACTAAAACCGTGTCGATGTACGCTCATCTTATTCTTGGTAAATAAGCGATCACCGTCAAAGCGAAGGAGACTGGTATAAAAACGGATGCAATCGGATTGCACGATTTTTTACTATTTTATTGAGTGCTACTCTTACCTGTACCTCCTCGTAATTGTGATCGTTTCCGTAAAGTCAGGCTCCGGAGGAAAAAAATTTTTTGATATGTTGTAGAACTGATTTTTCTAAGACAGAAAAAAGTTGTTTGACGAAAAACTGGGGAACGGTGAATGAGATATACAGAGATCCCAAGTTTGAAAACCAAAAAATAGGGAGATTTTTTTCATGAAGCGATCGCCTCC